GTCCCCTTCCTCTGGGCTCCTGACTCTTTCTGCAGCCTTTCTACTGCTACTGCTTGGCTATTTCTTACTGCTGTCTTCCAGCCACACCCCTGATCTTTTGGTAGGAAAGATCTACACCTAGCTTTCTCGGACAAGGGCGAAAAATCTCGGAGGTCCTGTGAGCAAGTTGCGCACGTTAAATATCCCTTGGTGGTCTAAAATCGATAAGAGTAGGCTTCGGCCGCTACCCGGGCAAAATTCCAAATTTCCTACCAACTGAAAATGTTTAATGTGTCCGGCGCGCTCATATGGCCGCCTTATGCAGTTGCGGGCGCCGTAAAACACTTGTTGTTGTTGTTTTCAAACCCCTTTAGCTGCGAGCATTTTGCTCTTGGCAGCGCAATGCCTCCCTCAAGTAACCACATGTCCTTGTCATATGGTCAACGCCAGAGTAGAGCAGGCTTTGTAAGTCTGTAGGTGTGTGTAGGAGCTTGCGTCGAAGAACTGCCAGGTTTGGGCAGTGAAGGAGAAGATGTTCAACGGTCTCCTCGATGTAGTCACAGTGTCTGCAAAGGGGTTCCCACATGGGATTAATTCTGTTTATGTGCTTGTTGGTGTGTTTGTGTCCTGTGAAGGCTCTGAAGATCGAAGTCTGATCGGCTCTACATAAAAGGTACGAAGGGTCTTTGGGGTTGGGTTTGTCCATGCACCCGAATTTTGAGATCTTCCTGTTTCTACGTTGGCCCATCTGTTTAGCCACTCGTCTCTGCTTTTGGCTTGGATGATCCCTCTGCAGGTCTGTTAAGAGGCGGCTGTGTCTGTCTGGGGCAGGCTTGTTCCAGTCTTGGATAGCTGGTCTGCAGTCTCATTCCTTGGTACTCCAGACTGGCCAGGAACCCACTGCAGTGTGACCCGGACGCCATAGGTAGTGCCCATCTGTTTTACAAGGCTGAGAATGTTCCCGTCCCCTCAGCCGTAAAACACTTACCAAAATAAAAAAGAAAAAGGCAGAAAAGGAAAATCCACCTGCTGGACACCGTCAGAATGTATCATTGAGAACTACAACCAGTTGACCGAGAGATAAAACCCCCCCACCTTAATCCAAATAAAAGATGGTGATAGACTGGACACATAAGTGTACTCAGGAAGCCAGCCCATAACATGGTGGCAAGACAACCTAAGAAGATGGAACTCCTAGTCCCAGGGGAGGAGAAAGAGAGGAAGGCCGAGGAGAGAGAGATAAGAGACAAATCTCTGGCGGGACACAGCTGTCTGGAAGCGGAGTAGATTGCATGTACGTAGGCTACATGCTTGTGCTGATGCTTGGCTGACACACTGGAAGAATGGGGAGTCTTTCTCCGAGGCCGTTGGTTAGTGTGGTTCAAAACGGGTTCTACATCATTTAAGTCAAGAATTATCTTCAGATAATTAAAAAAACCCCCAACACAATTTAGATCATTTAAATTTAAGAGATGGGCTGCTTCAACCCTGTTTGTACTGATCTGGGCTGAGAGAGAGAGAGAGAGAGAGAGAGAGAGAGAGAGAGAGAGAGAGAGAGAGAGAGAGAGAGAGAGAGAGAGAGAGAGAGAGAGATATATTTGAGAGAGAGAGAGAGAGAGAGAGAGAGAGAGAGAGAGAGAGAGAGAGAGAGAGAGAGAGAGAGAGAGAGATTTGAGAGAGATTTGAGAGAGAGAGAGAGAGAGAGAGAGATTTGAGAGAGAGAGAGAGAGAGAGAGAGAGAGAGAGAGAGAGATATCTTTTAGTTTCAGTAAGTTTTACGGCACATGCAACACAATAAATAAGGTCATATAAGTGCCGAAGAATAGATGTTGCAAGACATATAAGAGCCGAAGAATAGATGTTGCAAGAGAGTAACGTACACAAAAAGGAGGAGAGATAAGGACAATAGGCGTTTGATAAGAAAGAAGGAGCAAACCACACCAGATCACCCGCCAACCACCCACTAGAGAGAGATACAAGGTCCCAGCAGACAGATGATTAAAAAAACAAAACAATCCCACAGCAGACCAGTTCAAGCATCCATCTCTGGTGGGACTGAGCCAAGAAAAGGATAAAAGTTTGACCGTAGGAAGGTATCTTCATCACCAATAGATTTTTTTCTTAAAGCCAAAAGGCAGGCAAGGTGAAAGTTAAGTGGGTTCGAATCCTGTCTGAGGCCTAACGTGTCTTTACATAAAAGGCAATCTTCACAAATTTACAACACTTCACCCAGATGGGTATGGGAGCCCGGCAACAGATCGTGAAATATCTTGTCTGTTGTGCGGGTGTTCTACGGTCTTTTTGGGTAATACGATTTTTACAGCTCTTGCAACACATATAGATCTAGGCCATGCTGCTACTAGAAAGTAATATACAAAGAAAAGAAGGACAGATAAGGGTCACAAATGTTTGATAGACGGGCAAAAAGTGACAAGCCACACCAGAGCACCACCCTGTACATCTCGAGCACACAGCTACAAATTGAAACAACTAATTTTGTCAAATTTCATAACGTTTATTATCAATGCATTTGAAAGATAAATTATACAACAAAAGTGAACATCTAAAAATAGAATCGCATCAATTCAAACAGCTTTAAAAATGTCATGTCATTCCCACTCAGAAAAAAGTGTCATATATATACAAACTGTACAACTTATTGGGATAGACCACCACAAAATAACTTCCATTCCAGCACATGCCACAGACAACGCTTCTTTTAAACCACACACGGGACAGAAGTAGCCTACTGCACACATTCTTCATTCATGTGCCAACATTCTAACAGAGCACTCCTCAAATCAGAAGGGGAAAAGAGGATGAAATGGATCACGCATTCACAATAGCCCATATCAAATTCGCCCTTGCACAATTCAGGAATGTAGACATAGATGTCAAGTACGCACGCACCTCTATCATTCACCAAAATTCGAGCACTCACAACAACCAAAACAAGCACATGTTCAGCATTTTCATCCTGTCATAAAAAAACAACAACAAACAAAAAACTTTGCATAGCTTTTAAAAATATATGGCTTTAAAGCTAACAAGAATCTTCTGGGCTATCAGCCTCTAGCAATAATTGAACAAGGACCACTGGGATACTGAGCAAATTATGTAGGGGTAGTATGCATCAATACTACAGGTGTGTGGCATTTGAACCAGTTGCATTTTCTAGCACTAGTCCACATGGAAATGTTTCTATAGTCCTGAAGAGGATTCTGACATTCAGAATAATAATACTGTTATTAACTGTATTGGCACAATACTTTTGGAATGATTGCCTCAGCAGCACAGTGAATGACAAGTGGGTTTTCTGTAAATCCTTACAGCACAGAGCCATGTGTTCTTACAGTCTAATAATCAGTTACAAGTAAGGACTGCCCTTACAAGTCTTCATTGACTAGAAAACAGCGTCTTACAACTACACGATTCACCTCAGATCTAGCACGATTCCCAGAACCCTGAAGAGAAAAGTTGAATCCTATACATGGTCACCATTGTCCCACAACGAATTTAAATAATTATGTAATCATGGTCTTCCCAGACCGGTACCCAAGAAAAGTTGTACTACTATTTGCATCTTATTACACCTTAGACCAAAGCGAATTGAAAAAAATCTTACATCATATGGTTTCAATCACGAGACATGGACAACCTACATGTATAAAATATGCCCAGACACATATCTCATTTTCAGTCACAGGGCTTGATAAAAATCTCGGGAGAGAATGACAACAAATCATCAGTAAGCCTAACGGGAATGGGTGAGGGAATATTTCACACAACAGATTTCTGTATTGACTTCTGAACTGTTATGACAATATTAACAAAAATCTTGCAATGTAGCTTTTGGCAATATCAATATGAGCAAAAAAACACGTTACATTGCAATTTCCCTTTTTATCATGGACAAAAAAAAGTGTAGGGGACGTAAGCTACAAGCAAACGAGCTCACTGATATGACATTTGTAAAGGAAAAAAACCCCCAGGGGATCAGAACAGTTCTATAGTTCAAAGTGGAAGACAAGGTAAGCTTCTGGAGAACATTTCAGCAGAGTTGAACAGCACTCATCAAGAACAAATCCATATGACATATACAAAATAAACCAACTCGGACCAAAGATGAAAATTTACAATAATTTGGGGTGTCTGTGTGCAGGCATATAATTTTTCAAAGGGGCTTTCTAAGAATGAAAAATGATAAATTCTCAAATATAAGTTAATTGGGACATCATTATGTACACTTGTACAACACTGATTACCTGAGACTTGAGAGAGATTTATCCTCTAAGTGAAAGTGACACCATGGTTTAAAAAAAAAAGTGATGGGGGGAAAGGAGGAAATCTACCTTTTTGGAATGAATTGATGGCACTATGATTTTTCATATCCCATATCTTTGCACTAGTGGTATATGGCCACGTTTTAAAGCCTACAAAAGTAGAAATGGTTATTTTTTAATCTATATGTATTAAGTTTCAATGATGACAACGTATTGTTGGGGGGGGGGGGGGGGGGGGGGAGGAGGGAAAGGAAACATAAAATAGACAACTAACTGCATCCCCAGTGCTTCATTGACAGACATTTTAAAAATTTGTTTATTTATTAGAATCAGAATGTTTGACAAAAGTTTAATTACAAGATCTAAGCCAAGCCTGCAAAATGTCTTAGGGGAGAGAGGGAAGGAAAAGAAGATTTTTTTTGTAGCTTTGAGATGAGCAAATTACACATTAGTGACAGTTACAGTTACTAAACAAAAGAAATGAGGACAAAAAGGACAAACAAGGCTAGAACTATTTCTATAACCAAACAAGGCAGAGTAAAAGCACAGACTACTACTCACGGTAAGACAAATCTTTGATATGTAGAAGTGATGTTTAGCCGTGTTAAAATTTGAGAAATTTCACATTCAAAACTATAAGTAGATGGTAATGGAGTACAATTACAGGGCCTAAACTTGTCTTTCAAAAGACTTATTTCAACAAAGAAGGACTGACAATGAGGCTAGAAATTGGGAGTCTTTGGGAAGGATGGAGTTTGTTAACTGACAAATCAAATCATTGATTGAATCCAAATGATCACAGACTAATGCTGGTAGTGTTAATAACTTTTAAATACCTATAGAGGTCAAAATGCAAAATGATATGGGCTTCGCAATTCAAATGTTCAACATAGAAGAGCAAACTGAGGGCCAGTTGTGATACTGTGTCTTCCAATTGCTGGACATGTGTGCGAACAACCTTAGGTGTGTCTTCGTTGTACTATCACAAAGACATTCAAAATGCATGTGAAGCATTTATTTTTAACAATTTCGAAGCAGATTTCCCTCCTGTTGATTTGTAAATGTTTGAGCACTGCAAAGTCAGTTAATCTGACAATTTTTCGGAAATGAAAGACTGCCATGAGATATTCTCCCAACCCGAGGAAGCGAAACAGGCGTCCAATAGCCCAGTTCCTTGGCGATAGTGTGAGGGAATCACTGCAGAATATCTCATCCAGCTTAGCCCGCAAGAAAGCGGTTACTAGTGCGCACCACGGAGAGGTGCTGGATGACTTGCCCCGCCAAACTGGGCCGGACAGGGGTTGGTTGAAATCCCTGTCCTCCTCGTCTTTTTGGCAGGACATGCGCACCACAAGGTCTCAGCAATTGAATACACACAGACCCTCATATTATACTCTCTCTCATATTGTCAATGTCGTTACTAGATGCACGATCTACTTCTGTATCACCTTCTTGGGAGTGGGATAATCTGCTGCTACTACTTGCTAGTTCGCTGTCTTTGGATGGAGCAGTTTCTTTAAAAGAGGATCTCTCGGATACTGGAGATTTGCGTACCGTTTCATCTTCTACTTGAACAAGGGTTGAAGCCCCAATGTCTTTGTTACTTTTGGAGCTTGTATTGCTAGAGTGCGACACACTTTCATCATTACAACTTACAACACTGGTATTCAGGTCTTCCACTTGCACTCGCCTGCCTAACAGGGGTGATTGAGACTTTTTGCTTAAGCTACTTTTCCTAGATGCAGACTCTTTTGGCCTGTAGATTTTTTTCGATTCAGGAATTTTACCGTCGGCAAGACAGAATTTGGAGGAGGTAGCAGATGGTAAATAAGACGACTGAACAGAACAGCCGTTAGAATCCTCAGTATCACTATCGATGTAACCGCTATCTTCATTCTGATTTGCACTTAGACATGAGCAACGATTGATACAACACTGACAACAGCACTTTGATAGAGGCTCAATTGCCTTCTGAAGACATCTATCCATGGGCGCCAGAGATCGCATAAACTCTGGAAGGAATTCCCATGTACGGAGAGTAAGAGGAAGAAACTTCTCCAATCGTTTTGATTTCTGCATAATATTAACAACAACAACAAAGACGGCAATAAGAGAGATAAGTGACAAAGCAACAATAAAAACAATCTTACCAGCAAAAGATATCGCGAAAAAGAAACCAGGGAACAAAATAAACATACAAATAAGATATGCAATGGCAAACCATCTGTAATGAGCTGTCGTACGGCCCAGATATTTAGCACATCCCAGGACGATTTTCCTCATCTTGGGGACGGGGTAGAAGATAAGAATTCCAGTGATATTGAAGAACAGGTGGCAGAAGGCCAGCTGCAGGGCAACCTTCATTGTGCTGGAGGATGACGCCAGTGCTGCCAGAATACCTGGCGAAGATTTTTAAAAAGTTTTCTTGAGTTCATGGATCAACTTGTACATCTATTTTTTTCCCCAACAAAGAAAATATGAACCAATTCAAAGAAGTATCATATATTAAGTAAACAAAGGCGCTGGACATTTTTACAAAAACATTAATTTCCACTGTCTCAGCTCATTAAAAAACACCAAGAAGGAAACATGACACCCATTTTACCCACAAAGTACAACAAGCTAACTGATTTTGTATCTCTAATACTGGACCTATACATGATGGAAGGGAGAACCAAATACACCTATCCCAATCTCCAAAAAAGGAAAATTTTTGGTGCAAACTTTTGCCTCATAAAGTTTATATTTTACTATTAACCACACACACACACTGCATAAAAACATCCACCCCCCCCCCCCCCCTTTTTTTTTAAATTAAAAAATAAAAGGGCGGAAGCATGGTTCTGTACAACAAACACCAGTAATGTAAAACTGACAGGACAATTACCTGTGAACGTGGTTCCAATATTGGAGCCCAGGGTGAGTGGGAACATGCGCTCCAGCTTCAAACAGCCAACACCCACCAGGGGGGTCAGGGCGCTGGTGAACACAGAGCTGCTCTGCACCAAGATGGTCAGCCCAGCGCCCACAATGATGGCCACGTAGCCAGTCAGCCAGTGGAAAGGCCTGGGGAAGTCAGCGTTGATGGTCTTACGGGCGGCTTTGGCGATCTGTCCGCCCAGCAGGGAGTGGAGGATTTTGACCATGAGGTACAGGCAGATGGACAGCAGCAGGATGGAGGAGAGGAAGAGCACAATGCCAGACACACTGTCGCTCCAGCCAAGCTGGCTGAACAGGGAGTCGCCTGAAAGAAGACAAACCCATCAACATTTTAAAAATGTGAAAACTAAAGAGCATTTAAAAAAATTAAACTTTGTTTTTTTTTGGTGTTAAAGTAGGCGTTCTACTGCTCTATTGGTCACTTCCTGAGCCGAGGCACATAAGACAAAAGTAGCACAAAGTGAAAAAAAAAAGCTTTCACCAAAATAGTTGATAAAACATGGATATAATGGACATTCTATTTAATGGTAAGAGTCATGTCCTCTCAGGTTGAAGAACTAAAGAGCCTATTCCTATCAATCAAAAGACAAAAAAACAAAAAAGAACAAATGAAAAGTAATTATAGTGCTATATTAGGCTACTTACATTTCTCCAAAGGAACTTTGATCTCGACAGATTTGTTCACCATTTCCCATGAGGTTTCACCAGTGACGTTGTCGGTAGAGGACTCATTCACCATCACAAAGCTGGGTACTTTCTCATACGAGCAATAAACCTGGAAGGAGAAACAAAAGATGAAAATATTTTTGCATCTAACGAGGTTCCCATCTTACATTCATAATGGAGTTCCCAACACTTATGTTCAGCCAGCAAACACCCTTCATAGTGTAATCGAACCCGGTGTTATGAACATAGCCATTCATATTAGATGAAATTACATTTGTCCAAATGACTATAACATCCTTTAAAAAACTGACAAAACTTAAGAGATTGACAAATATTGGAAAGTGATACAGCTGAATTTGCTCTTATGGCCACCTGTCCAAGACAATCCCTTGTTTGAAAGAAATGACTTCTAAGACAACCACTCCTTTGCTCAACAATAGATAGCAGTATTAGACACTTTTGGCAATACTTTTCATTTTTAGGAAGTAAGCGTTTTGCGGAATTTGCATAGGTCATATTAGTGACAAAGATTAGAGGTGTTACATACCCCCCCCCCCCCCCCCCCCAAGAAAAGAAAAGGGGGAAGGAAAAAAAAAAAAAAGGGAGTCAAGATAAGGACACAGATGTTTGATAGGAAAAGAGGAGCAAACCACAGAGCACCAGCCAGCAGATAGTATCTTACAAAAGTTTCACATTCGAGCATAAAGTATAAGAACATTATACTCAACTTGGAAAAATTATTTCTTTAAGATCAAAATCATTTTGTCTTGTGTTCACAAACAATCAAAATTACCTTGAGAAGTGTCTTGTTCAGATACTCAGGTTTCCCCTCAGCAACACCAGTGATGACCTTCTTGTCAACCTGCATTGGGTAGAGTAATGTGGAAAACCATTAGTCTTCGAGTTACTGATAAAACAATTTTAAAAAAATTTTAAGTTAGAGTTTTACGGCACTTGCAATACAATAAGGTCAGGTAAGTGCCGGAATTAGAGGTGTTACAAGAGAGTAGTAAACAAAAAAGGAGGGGAGATGGAGACAATAAATTTTTTATAGGAAAGAAGGATCAAACCACACCAGAGCACTCGCCAACTACCCACAAACAATTTCTTAGGCTTGTCTGTTTGAGTAAAGAGAAGCACATCGACACAATGATGGTAATTTAGTGCTGGGAAAAAAGTAAGACAGACAGACAGACAGAAACAACAGAGGGAAAGTAAAAAAGTAGGACCTACCAGTGGTGCCCTCCAACTACCCGTTTCTGAAGCTATACAAGACAAGTTAACTTTGAACCAAAGAGCTGTATGTCAACACTAAAGGTCCCTTCTTGGCAAGGGCATTTCAAAATTGGCACCCACTTCAAAAATCCCAAGTACAACACACCAAGAGGACAGAAGGAAAAATAGAAATGAGATGATGACACCTCTACAATTCTAACTTCTTTGAATTAAAAAAGAATAGGAGACATACAGAGGATTGCATTCCAGGTTGAAACAAAGATATAATTTATTGTATCAATAAAAAAAATTTGACATACCTTGATAATCCTGCTAGTGAGGGGCTTGGTCAGTTTCTTCAACAAATCCTGCTTCTTGGCTTTCATGTCCTCCATGTTAAAGCTGTCTACAATGATCTGAGTGAAGTGGTACAAATATCCTGAAGGAAAAGAATATATGTCATTAAACACCAGAACAAAATATTATAAAGGTCAATTTTTACCATATGTCCCTGACAATAATTTTTAAAAAGCCAAGTAAATATCAATCAATTCAATTTGCAGCTAATATATAAAGAAACACTAGGTATAACATATGACCACCCTCAAATTTGTCTCCCTCAGGAGTGGGAAAAGCTGTTCATACCAAAGAAACTGTAGAAAAAAGAGAGAGGGGAGAGAGAGAGAGAAAAGAGGG